TTCCCGAGCAGCCTCCACAATCCCTCCCATGCCTACCCACGCACCCCCACAGCCCTCCACACCCCACATCCCCTCCATCACACACCCATCGTCCCCAGCTGCCAGATAGGATGAGAACTGCTGGCAGAAGCTGTGGCTGCAGGGGCAGCTGTCTACACATCCTAGTTAGTGAAGGTGCCAGGGGAGCTCTAATTGTTCTATGATAAGACAACCAAAAGCAAACATCAAAGCAAATATATATTTAGAATTAATTTATTATGATGCTAGAGACACTAGTAGGTTTCCAGATTGCTTTAAAACTGTAAATATATCAATAAGACATTGCCCAACTGATTCTCTCCCTCTCCTATATGTGTATTTGTATGTATATGCACACGCACATGTGTGTATATATAGCGGTCTTTTGTTTTAAGTGTGGAAAAACATGGATTTGGGAGTATTTTAAAGAGTGAATTTGGGATTTTTTTTTTTTATCATAGATTTTGCAGATTTTAAATGGGGAGTACCAGAATTCCTGCTAGTGAGGCAAGTGGCAGGACCCAGGCAGAGAGCCTGCTCAGGGCTGGCATCTGGGGCTCAGCTGGAGATGGCTGACCTTCTGGCCACTTGGGGCTAAGAGGGCATGCTTTGACAGTTCACCGAGAACATCTTCCGGGCGATAGCTGCCCAGATGGCAGGGTGGTGGCACACATGACGGTAGTGCCACACAGAGGCCAACTGTTCAGCCACAGCCTGCTGGCAGCTGGCCCTGAGGTGCAGATGCCTCTGCTGCGGCCGTGCAGTTCCCATCTGGGTCTGGCAGGCGCGCAGCCTTGGGGCCACATGCTGTCGTAGGTGGCAGCAAGTCACAGCCAGGCAGCAGCCCCCACTGCCAGACTGCTGCAGTGGGTAGAGGGTGCAGGGAACTCTGTTAGGGCTGCTTCAGCAGTCCAGCTCGCACAAGGGGTAGTGTCCCCAGATACCAATAGGCCAGGCCCTAGAAGCTCCTGAGAGCATGTAGCCCCGAGCTGCTTGCCAGGGCAGTTTTTTTTTATATTGCTGGGGCCAGTACCTATGCTGGCCCCAGGCTCTAGCTCCCCCTGGCTGAAGGTCTTGGAGGAGCTGGGCAGGGTTATTTTGCCCCAGGTGGCACAACCTGCCCCACACCAAAGTGCATGTCCGGGCACATGTGATGAGGCAAAAATCCCCAGCTCAAATTTGTGTCCCTCCTATTTGAGCTGCCGCAGGTACACATGCCTGCATGTGTAGATGTGCCCTTAGAGCCCTTTAGGCAAGGTCCCTTCTATAGCAGGCAGCCCATCATATAATTGCTTTCACTTACTTATACCACACCAATAGCTAGTTAGGCTTTTTGCTCTTCTGCTCTTCAGAGGCTATTATGATGTTGAGAAATCTTTCAATTTCTAGCCAGTTTCTTTCTAGCCAGTTTTGTGCCCAAGATTTTAACTATCCTAATCCTATTTTAAGTGACTTTTTTTTTTTTTTAACACATTGCATCCATTTTAGTAGTTGTTATTTTTAACTTTGATATTTGTTACAGGTCAGGCAGGCCATGATCCTGCTAAGGTAGCTGATGCTATGATGGATGCTGTTGTGGACTTTGCAAATGGTAAATCTGTTCAATCTGTGGAAAAAATCAAGATCATTATCTTCCAGACACATCTAATGGATGTGTTCCATGCGAGCATGAAGAAAAGACAAGGTACTGAGCAGGTACCTCCTACACCTGCACCACGTTCATTCCTCTCCCAGGTTGCATGTAAGTAGCTGCCTTGGTCTTGCTGTCTGTGTAGAGGTGCACATATAAGGCTACTTGATCCTTATCCTTTCTTCCATTGCAACTACCTTCTGTATTTCTACTTGATTACAGCCTATTTTGGATTTGGAAAACGCCCAACAGAAAAATCCTCCATTGTGGTTTCAAAGATGAAAACTATGCCAGCCATTTTTCAGATTTGTGGTGAAAGCCAGAAAAATGTAGAAGCAGCTGAATCATGGATTAAGAACCAGATTTTAAGGCAACAGCTTGAAAAGACTATATCGGAGGAAGGGATTTCAGGTTTTGGTGAAAGGGAGTTTGAGAAACTGAAAGACCTTCAGAAGAAACTATACATTGACATTGATTGGGATCTCAAGGAAGCTGTTCCTGCCATTCGAGTCTCAGGTGTTAGCCAAGATGTCTTGCATGCTTGCTTGGAAATTCAAGAGCTAATTAAAAAAGTCAGAGAAACCCAAGAAGAGGAATCCAAGGCAGAACTTGTTAGCAGCCTAGTTGAGTGGCAGTACATAGAAAACGGTAGTTATGTGCCCTTTGACAGTCTGACGAACCTGCACTTGGAGGATGCTGCAATGGGCAAACAGAAGGAGATTGACGTCACTTTTGAAAACAAAAGGTTTAAAGTGGATCTGGTAGCAAAACGTGCTCTAGATGATCGAGGGAAATGTAAACCTATCGTACGCATCTCGAAAACGGAAGGTAAGCGAACTCTTCTTGATTTCTAGTGTCATTGTTACTCAAGCTAGATTTAGTATTGCCTTAGTGCTAGACTAGACCAGTGCAGATGAGGAGTAAGGAAAATAAGCTAGGGTCAAACAGAGCTGTTCTTGTGCACATCTGGAATACAAATTGCCATTGGAAGCAGTATGTCGTATACTGAAAAAGAATTGAAAGAGACTGAAATGGAAAACAAAGATGATAAAAAATCATGGATGTTTTAAAATTGTGAAAAGCACAGTAAATCAAATTTGTGATGACAAGAAAAAACAGTAATTTAGGCAGCTGGAATGCTGTAAGCATCTTGTGTTTATATAGATACTGCCTTTTCTTTCCATGAGATTCCCTCAGTTAGCTCCACCTGTTTTGCTCATCTGAGAGGGTCAGAGACATCTCGTGTGTGCACCATGCCTAACAGTGGCTTTGTCACCTCTAGAAGATACCACAGTACAACTACTAAATGACTGTAATTATGATTAGAGGACGAGTTCTAATGAGAACATTTCTTCATTTGATACCACTGAAATAAACCTTCTAATGTTCCTGCATTTAGGAAACAATAAAACTCCCACCTACGAAAGATACGTTTCTTCTTGGGGACCCCTTGCCGCCTTTTGTCTTAGTTCTTTCCAAGAGAAAAGAGAGCGTCTTGCTCCCTTGAAGTCTTTACTCTTCTTGATTGAGAGTATCCAGTATTTATGTTCCTTCTGGGATAAGTGCAAACCAGTTTCACATTCATTGACAGTGCAGCTACAGCCCTAGCTTCTCTGCAATGAATTGAGATGGAAAGAGGCTGGTAGTGTTGAGTCTGGAGGCCATATGTTTGAGAGAGAGCAGGTTACAGTGTCTTCAATAAATTGTTTTCTGTTTTTCTCTGAGATGCCTCTGACTAGGTGGAAAGAATAACTTCTGTCTTGTGCTACTATATCCAGAAGCAGAGACGGAAAAGGGGTGAAGTTTAGGCTAGATCTGTTCCCAATCTTTTTAGCCCTTCAGCATTTCTCCATTTCCCTATGTCATACATTCCTTTAAGAAAAAGGAGTAGGGAACGATGCTGCCACTTTACCAATGAGTGTGGAGTGCAGTGAAGGTAGGTGTTCCCGGTATAGGTGAATCTGCTGGTTAGGCCAAATAATGAGGTGCCTTTTCAGTCTTTACTAAACATCTGATACTCTGACAGCTTTCTCTCAGTGAGGCTTATGACAAGCTTAGCAAGGATGTTTAAGGTTTGGCTCTTGAACAGCACTATCAACATAATCACACTTTAGGACCTCAGTCCAAAGTCATTAAGTAAAAGCAGAGCAAGGAATCATTGAATTATGCTTTCATAGTATGCTAATAATTATGCCTCCATAACCAGAGTCCAGTACACATTTGTTAACAAAACATTTGCCTTTGCAGAAAATCAGTCGATAATACTCCCTGCAGCATGGGAAGATATGAACCAAGAGCGTGTCAAAGTAGTGCAGCTAAAACCAGAAATGAAAGAATATGACGATGTTCAGAAAAGATTTCAAGAGACCTGCGCGTCATTCAAGATTGAAAAGGTGAAATGGTGTCCGTTTCTGAGCCTAGGTGTCTTGGTGACTGCCCCAAATAGATAAGATAACAAGGGGTGTAAAAAGCATTGGTTTGGATTTCTTAAACTATGGTTTCTTTTTGGAAGAGAAACATCCTTTTTCACAACTCTAGCAAAAAAAGCCCGGTGAAGCTGACCTGCTCTACCGGGCTTTAAACTAAGCCCGTTGGGGGACGGGGGGGACTACTGCCACTGCTGGCCCGCTGAGCAATCCTTGCAAAGCCAGCGGATCACGGCGCTTCAGGGAGCCCACCCCTGCCCCAGCCCTGGTAAAATCTGTGGGCAAGGAAGGAGCCCCCCAGGGGGCACTTGCCTGCCTGTACACTAATGCCAGGAGCTTGGGGAATAAGCAGGAGGAGCTCATCCTCCTGCTCAGTGCAAACAATTACGATGTCATAGGGATAACGGAGACCTGGTGGGACTCCACCCATGACTGGACCACGGGTATAGATGGCTATACCCTGTACAGGAGGAATCGTGTAGAGAAAAGGGGCTGGGGGGTAGCTCTCTATATTAAGGAAAGCTACACATCCCTGCAAGCCGATATTGGTGACCAGGGTGGACGGCTGGAGACCCTCTGGGTTAAAATCCGTGGGGAACACGGCACAGGGGACACAATGGTGGGAGTCTATTACAGACCTCCCACCCAAAGTCCTGAGCTTGACCAGGAGTTTGCCCAGGAACTGGCTGAGGCAGCTTGCTCCAGGACCATGGTTGTCATGGGTGACTTCAATTACCCAGACATCTCGTGGGAGGATCGCTCAGCAAAATCTGAGCGGTCGCAGAGCTTCCTCTCGTGCGTGGATGACCTCTACCTGACTCAAGAAGTCTATGGGCCAACGAGAGGCAAAGCGCTGCTCCACCTGGTACTGGCTACTGGGGATGACCTAGTCGGCGACCTAGTGATCGATGGGAAGCTGGGTGACAGCGACCATGAGCTGATCACCTT